ACATGCACCACCAGGGGTATTTTTGTAATTTTTTGAGAAATTCAAGGGTATTTCAGTCTTTTATCTATATAGTGGCACTCAGGTAATTTTTTGGGGTTCCTAATGGTATTTTTGATATTTTTATATATATAAATACTTGTAAATTTTTTCTTGCATGTGAAAAAAATAAAAAAAACCAAAAATAAATATAAAAGGAATAACAACGCGGGTTTAACACCCATCTTATCATGTCATTATTCATAGGTTCAAAGCTCAATTCACAAGTATGGTTATACCTATTTCTTAACGATATAAAAATAATTTTTGTTTTATAAATGAATATTGTTTCTCAACACGTCTCTTTTATTTAAAGAAAAAGACTAATATCAAAAATTGAAATATCAAATATGGATTATGTCCATTATTTCTTTTGATAATCCAGATGTAATTCTCCTTTTTAGAGACAAACATTAATATTTTAGACAAGTCTCCTATTTTTTAGGGACTAATGTTATTTTTTGACGTATCTCCTATGAATATTGTTTGTCGACACATCTCTTTTATTTACAGAAAAGGACCAATATCAATAATTTAAATACCAACTATGAATTATGTTCATTATTTTTTTTGGTAACCCAAACGTAACTCTTCTTTTTAGGATCAAACGTCAATATTTTAGATGAGTCTTCTATTTTTAGGGATTGATGTCATTTTTTATGCGTCTTCTACTTTTAGGGACCGACGTTAACCATCTTTAGAAAAAATAAATTGCAAATAAGTTCAAAATATATTAGCATTTGAATTAAATAAAAAACACACCGGTATCTAATTTGGGATTTCTAGTTCCCTCAAATTACAAGATGGCGACTCTAATAAAATCTTTGTTTCCTTCAATCGAGAAAAATCTTTCTTTTTGTTAAATAAATAAAAGAGTAGAGTCGTCGCCTAACATCGTGTAGGGAATAGAGCCGTCGCTTGACATCGTGTAGCGACAATATATATATATATATATATATATTAAATTTATAATGTTAATTTTTATGAACTAAATTTAATTTAACTAAGATTTACACCCAATAAATTAGCTTAAAATGTGCTATAAGTTTTAACAAATAATCTAGACTTAATATATCAAATAAATCAATTAACTAAAATGAAAGAATTAATTATAAAAAAAATATAAATAAATAAATAACAAGACATACAACAACAAATATTTAAGTTTATTATTATAAGATATATATGCTAAGTTGAGTTTTGTAACAAGTAATGTTTATTTTTTAAATTTTTTAACTCGTTATCATCTATAATATACATATAATAAGACCTTAACTATTCAAGTTAAATAATACAAATATTATAAATAAGAGAATTTTTTTAAACACCTCTATTTTATATATATATATATTCATGGTATAGATAACCATATTATACATTGAATGATTTTTTATTTTCAATAGTTTTAAGAAACAATCCTTTATATTAACCTAATACATTAAGTAAAAATTATTTTTTTTTAGTGTACGAGGTTAACCTTGGAATTGATTAACAAAATAGAAGGTGAGATGTGCACATCAAAGCCATCTGTTGCTGATGAAAGATTGAAGGGTCAGCAGCGACGATAGTTACGATGGTTGCATCAAGTTTCCACTCCCAAGTCCACATTTTCTCCTCTTATTGGTCTAAAAATGCAAGGACAATTAAATTAAGGCCTCACGTGTATCC